AAGCATTAGGATCAGGGCTGGGGAGCTTAGGTCTTGGGTATGCCTGTGAGTTTATTTAGATGATAATAGTGTGTTTTGGTGCTCATTTTGATGGAAAAACTTTCTTTAGAATTTAAAGTTATTCCCTTAATTGTAATAACCCCCGTTAAAAATATAAACTTTTAAGAGAAACATATTAGTATCCTGTTGTTATATGTAGCTACTATATATAGGACACACGTTTGCGATTGATGAAATATAAGTATCTTAGAAGGAAGTATAAACCTGAATCTCTTATTGTGTTTATAATACTTCAGTTTAATCTTTCCTTTTGTAGGTTGGGACTCCTGGACGCCTTGTGGATCACCTGACCAATACTAAAGGTTTTTCTCTTCGACTGCTGAAATATTTGGTAAGAGTTTCTTGTGCTTCTTCCTCCTTTTTTATTTTTTAATTCATTCTTCCCTTGGCATGAGTGGTTGAATTAAATATTCATGGTCATATTTTTAGTTTCAGAAAGGGTTGAGGCTTTTAAATGAGCAGGTCTTGTTTTTTGAAAGATTTTTTAATTTTTTTACCACCCTTTCACTTGAGATATCCTTTATTTACTTTTTTAGCTATATGATATGAATGCCGATGTCTTACATGGCCCTTTAAAACAGAGTCAACTATACAGCCATATTACAGTTGGTGCTCGATATAGTTTCATATGATTGACCTGGACGGAAGTAATAAAATACCTATTTTCTTACTTCCATACATCATTAACTGTTTGATATGTATGTATATTTACTGCTGAAATAATGTGCATCTATTTGGCAGGTCTTAGATGAGGCAGATAGGTTGCTGAATGAGGATTTTGAGAAAGCACTTGATGATATTTTGAATGTTATTCCTCGTGATAGGCATACATATTTGTTTTCTGCAACTATGACCAAGAAGGTATGTGTTGAAAGGAAAAAATATTTAATGCATGTCTTTCATATACCATTTTCTATTTCAAATAATTGGTTACCATTGGTGGACATGGATTGAACTTATAAGAAAAAGGACTTCACTTTTTAAGCTTACTAAGAATATGATCTTGAGTATAGTGTGCGTTGGTGCAATATGATCTATGTAGCTGACTTTATACAGTTAATTCATATCTTTGCAAAAGCAGGAAGTAGTGCGTTGGCTGTATTTCATTTTTGTTACAATTTTATGCACCTGATTTTTTTTATCAGGAATGGAAATTACCTATATGATCGATTTTGATCTTGTGGATAAGGATGCTTTTGTTCTTTCTCCTTTTATGTGGTCTCATGTAGTAATTCTTTTGTCAGAGAACATATGTTACTCCATGTGTATCCATTTGCCAAAAAGATATTTACCAGATGCTAAAGTTCTGTATAATATTTGTTAAGACAATAGTTGTTAAGATATGTCACTTTTATTAACTTGTGAAAATGGACTACTCTTGGCAGCCTGAACATGGTATTGCCAGTGAATAATGGTCTTCTATGAAATCTGTTTTCAAAGTGATATCCTTCAAACTCAATGCAAATGTAATTTATTCTTACTTTCCAGGTGTCATGTTTCTTCCATATTGACAAGGATAACATTTATCCATTAGTATTTGTTAACATATTGTTGGCAATTACCACATGAATAACAAAAAGGAATCATGTAAACTTCAAAGCCCCTAATTAATTTTTGATTCACACTATCTAAAGGGTGGGTTTTGTATCCTTCTCGTTTTCGTGCTTTGATATCTATTTTGTTAATAGGGTTTGAAAGGGTCAAACATTTAATCACAGAAAAATTTGAAGATCAGTTTTTAATGCAAAGTTTGAAGACCCATTTGGACCATTTGGACTTTGACTAAAAATTGGAGGGCAAGTGCTGACTCAAAAGGGGTACTTACTTTCAGAGAGTAAAGCATTCATCTGATACTCTGTCATACAGGACGTTTATTGTGGGAAAGCTGGTGCTAAGGGCAAATGGAATCCTTTAGCTAAAGTTTGACACTGTATATCTCAGTATTATCGTGACATGAAGCATCCATGCCATTTTAATCAAACTTATGTTGAGCTCTCCTCCCATGTATAGGAAATTTATTTTTGATTTGAAGATATAAAAAAACTGAAATGATGAGTCATGCTTAGAGCACATCTGAGAAAGATGTGCATTTACTACACAGATTTTTCACGATTTGACCTGATTTTTACAATATTGATTTATTTACTTTGTGGGTGAACATTTGACCACAGTATTTGTGATGGTGTAGGTCAAGAAGCTACAAAGGGCATGTCTGAGAAATCCTGTGAAGGTTTGATGATGATATTTCTGCAAACTTTCTGCTTTCTCCATTTTTATTTTTAACATTTGTCAATTTGTAGTTGGTTTCTTTCTTTTCAGATTGAAGCAGCATCTAAATATTCCACTGTTGACACACTGAAGCAGCAGTATCGCTTTATTCCTGCAAAGTACAAGGTGCCTAATCTTCTCCACGTTAAATTTCTGAGTTCTGTAATTACTGGGGCTCTCATATTTTGTAGATTAGGTTTGAATTCTGTCCACTGTTCTGCAGCTTATTTGGCCTTTTGTTCTGTTTCCTTTCTGCTCATTTATCATATTGTGCTGTTCCGATGGTCTGGACAAATTCAGTAAATGAGACCAAGTGGCTTGCTTTAGTGAGTTTGTTCTGTTTTCGTAACTTACCAAAATCTCTAATATTGTGTATAACTTTGCATAAAAAAAGGTTAAGCTACTAATATAATAATCATAAACATCTCAGTACCCTAGTTTGGAGAACTAATTTCCACAACCTATCCTCCTTTTACACCCTTTATAGCTGTATTCTGCTGTCTTCTGTTCCAGGCAATTGGCATGTCAGAAACATAGATACATACCCACACCCTAGCAACATAGGTCATCATATGAGCTAGGCATCTTTGTCATATTTTGAAGATCAAATTAAGCTTTGAGTTGTGCTAATAGGTATGAGTTTTCATGCCATATCGTTACATTTATTGTGGTTGAATAGGGAATTTATTTTTTGTAGCTTGGAAACTAGACAGTAATCTAGCCACAGTAATTTTTTCTCTAAGTTCCAGAAATGGATGAAACATGAGGGTCTCTTCATATTGCATTTCTATGTTTTTTATAGATGTCTTTTGTTATATTGGGAATTATTTTTTTTGTAGCTGGGCAACTAGATAGTTATCTAGCCACAGTAATATCTTTTTCTGCTAGTTCTGGAAATGGATGAAGTATGAAGATCTCTTCATGTTGCATTTCTATGTCCTATGTAAATCTCTTCCTTTATATATTAATTTTGCTGTTATTGCAGGATTGCTATCTTGTTTATATTTTGACCGAGATGTCAGGATGTACATCTATGGTTTTTACTCGGACATGTGATGCAACTCGCCTTTTGTCTTATATTCTTCGGAATCTTAATATAAGGGCAATTCCCATTAGTGGTCAAATGACCCAGGTATGTGTTTTATTTAGTTCACGTACTGATCTATAATATTGCTCTTCAAATGTGGAGTGTCCCTCTCTTCTTTGCCCTCTCCTTTTGTTATTATTATTATTATTAGTATTTGCCCACACTTTGTTGACATGATGCTTTTGACAGTCAAAGAGGCTTGGAGCCTTGAACAAGTTCAAGTCTGGGGAGTGTAATGTTCTTGTCTGCACTGATGTGGCTAGTAGAGGACTTGACATTCCGTCAGTGGATATGGTTATTAATTATGATATCCCTACAAACTCTAAGGTTGTACTTGCACTATATCTTTCTTCTTTGACTTGTTGCAGCATATGTTAGGCCTTTAAAATTATGCATTATGCATTCTATTATTATATCAAAGGGTCTGGGTTTAAAGGATAGAGTGCCAAAAAATTCTCTTTCACTGCCTCCTTTTTTTTTTATTCTTTTTTTCCCTCTTTGTTGCTAAATTTCAAGTCGGTACAGGACTACATCCATCGAGTGGGAAGAACAGCTCGTGCGGGACGATCTGGTGTTGCAATCTCACTAGTGAATCAGTATGAGCTGGAGTGGTATCTGCAGATAGAAAAGCTTATTGGTAATTCCACAGTACCTAATTTTGTTGCTGGGATGTAGTTTGAGTAGCTTGTCCAGGAGACTAACCTTTTCTGTTTTCTGTATTCCAGGCAAAAAGTTACCTGAGTATCCTGCTCAAGAAGAGGAAGTCTTGCTACTGTTGGAAAGTGTCACTGAAGCCAAAAGACTATCACAGATGGTAATAAAAGTTCCTTTTAACTTTATTTGGATTTTTTTATAACCTGGATTTATAGCACTATCTTTGTGTTTCTATTATGTCTTTTGGTTGTTACTGGTCTAATCTTTTGTTCTGTGGAAGTAAAGCTAATATAGATTGGTCTTGTGCTTATATCATATGTTTGATTGCTTTGTTCTAGTGTTTGATATGTAGCTTAATATTATTGTGATGCTGTTGAGAAAAGGCTGTGCTTCACGCTTATTTTATTTTATTTTATTTTATAATTGGGAGAGGGGGGATTTGAACTTGCTCTTTAGATAAGGGATCGTGCACCAACTAATGAGTCAGATGCTCGAATGCTTTTTTTATTTCACACTGAGAGTTAGTGTTTGAATCCGATGTAGAATATGTGTTGCTTTGCGGTGGAGTCACCCTTTTGCTTGTGCTTCTGAATGTATCATATGATTTATAGTATTTTGAAGTTTAATTTAGCCCCTTTTTGAGATGACACAGTTTTTCTAATTAATAAAATTTGAACATCTCTGCAGAAACTTAAAGAAATCGGAGGCACAAAGAAGAGGAGGGGTGGAGACGATGATGAGGAAGATATAGAGAGATATCTAGGAAGTAGGGGTAAGTCCTCCAAGAAACTGAAGAAAAAATGAGACTTGGTTCCCACTTCCTACTAGTATGATGGGTTTGGGATATAGCTCAAATTTTGATCCGCGTAAGATATTCGACATTACTTTCATTGAGAGAAAAATAGGAAGTTGAGAGAACGAGGGAGGAATTCAACCTTTTCCCCTTTTTTGGGGGCAAGTTATTGTACAAAACTCATAAAATATATGATAGTAGAAACATTTGCTTGTTGGGAGTAACGGGACAGTGCTAAGGTCTATCTATATTCATTCCTATATACATACTGAGCATACAAGAAAAGAGTTAACAAAGTTTGATCAATGCAGCTTTATTTGAATAAGTGATTTTGATCAGATAACTTTAGACTTCAAATGCCTTATAATACAACCCCCACGGAGTTTAGATTAGCTCTTGATTACAAACTGAAAGCTTTTACATAAATAAGAATGCATGACCTTTGCTTGTTTGTTTATATCTGAATTTGTCAAAGGATTGTAACAATTTGTAATCTAGCAGAATCTTATGGAGACATGAGTTACTTTTCTTTTGTTCCTTCCATTCTAAATAACGTGTATATATATATATATATGGATTTAATAAAAAACAAGTTAGTACTTGGGAATTAGGTTAAAACGAGGAAAGGGTTTACTGCCATCCACACACGCGTAAAGAAAACAGGTTAGTACTCAACACGCGTATGTATATATACACACATATCTATATATCATACAATAAAAAACAAGTTAGTACTCAAAAATTAAATCATAAATTAGGAAGAAATCTTAAAATAAGGATTGTGATGTCATATAACCAAGCTAGTATTAGGGAATTAGGCAATAAATTAGGAGGAAATCTTAAAATGAGGAGGGGCTTTGCTGTCATCTCGTCCATTTAAACTGAAATACGAAAGATATTGGCGGAAACTAGTTCCCTTATATATGGGTGGATTCTCCTCAGCTGGTCCATATGGTTTTTCTCTATAAGCAGGAGTTGGTTCTTGGACCCAGGCGTCCAGCCAGAACTCTATGCATAATGCTTTTGAACTTGTCATTTGATACAAATATACAAATTAAATAGTTTTTTTCAATACAATATTACATATATGTTATCATATTAATTGGGAAAATGGAGAAAATTTTGCTTAAACCACGATCATTTTTCAAAAATATAACTATTACAAAGATGTAAAGAATGTGTGCTCTTTGTCAAAATCATAAGGTATTACCTTATTATAAAAGTAAATTAAAAATTTTTAATAACTTAATAATAAATATTAATATTTTTTTAACAAAATACATTAATGATGAAAATATATTTTTTAATCTCTTTGCAACTTCCTCTCACCTAATCTCTTCTCATCTTCTTCTGTTAAAACAAATAAGGTTTGGCTGCGAACCTACAGGCTTGTGGCTAGAGAAAGATAAAAAACTTATTTTTATTTGCGTATTTTTTAAATAATTATTAATATTCAATTTTAGCTTTTTAAAAAATTTAAATTTACTTTTATAATAAAGTGCTACCTTATGATTATGGTTAACATTATATGGAAACTATATACTATAGATGCAGCAATGTAAACCCTAATATTTAAATACTCTTATGAAATCAAAATTTGCTAGTATTATATATATGTTATTAAATTAAACTATAATATATATTAGGTAAGGTATTTAAAAATAGTCTATGAGAAAGTAAGTTTATAGCTCATTAAATAAAGTATAAAAAAATATAGAGGAAAGTGTGAGAAATGACATTCGTCATAAGGTAATTTCAAAAATGACCTTTAAAATAATTTTAACTATTTTTAGACAATTTTTGGTAGGAGTTTACAAAAATACCCTTTAAACTATTTAATTCAAAATAAGTGGTCCTAGTTTCTTTTTCTGTCATTCAGATAAAAATTTTAAAATTAAATTTCGATTTAGCTATCCATTCGTTCAGATCTCCAGCGCCATTCGGGGAATATATCTCACCGTCTAGCTCTCCAACGCTATTGAGGTCTATATCGCCATCCAACTTTCTCACAATCCTAAAGTGCAGAGATGACATCAAGGTATTTGTTATGGGTTCTTGAGTTTATTTTTTTATATTCATAGAATGCAAAAGTTGATGGGTAAATTATATCAATTTGGAAACTTAAATTTGGTTGGGAGTAGCAAAATCATTTAGTCTATAGGCAATGCGTGAATATTTGTTAGGCATTATGCTAGTTGTTTATTTGGATAATGGGGTATGTGACGGGATATTAGGAATCGTAACCTACTTATTTGGCATTATGTGATTGAATATTTGTTGAGCATTGCGTGACTTGTTTGTAGGCATTGCGTGACTTTATCTCCCTAATGCTGAAGGTGATTATGTACTGATTCAGCCCCTTTAATAACAAATTGTGTAAAATTAAAAGAGAATTAGAAATACTTAATAACCAATTTAGCCCCCTTTATAACAAATTCTATAAAATTATAAGAAAACTGGAAATGCTTAACAACCAGTTCAGCCACCTTAATTGCACTGAACCAATTTTGCCCCCTTAATTGCACTTATATTGACATTCAAAAAAAAAAAAAAAAGAATTGCATGTGCAGAAAATGAAGAGTCGGCATTCATGCCTATAAATAAAGGGAACCATTAACCATTTCAATCAAAATAATCCAAAGCAAAATTTGAAAATGGCATCCAAAGGTTCAAGAGGTGATAGTGGGAAAGGGGTCACCACTAGAGGGGTTACCCTTAAAAGGTGTGCTCTAATGGATTGACTCGAGCAGATGGAGACGAAAATATCCTAGAGACAAAAATCCTGGCAAATAACAAGATTTTGGTAGAAATTTATGAATTAGTAGATAAAATTAGGAAGAAATGATTTTTTTTTGTATCATCTCCTTTAAGTTCGGCCAATGAATAAAACAAAAATTTTCATTAGTCTCATATTTTCTTGCTTTATTTTATATTATGCCGAATAACTTGGTTACTGACCCTAATTTCTTTATTTTCTATTTCTATTTATATAAGAGAAGCAAACTTGAGTGGATGTTAGGCATTGCGTGACCTATTATTAGGTATTGCAAAATTAGGTTATAGGTGCTGCGTGAATTGTGTAATGTATATTTTCCGTTAAGACATTGCGTGAGTGGTTTTTTATCAGTTAAAATTCCACTACGCAAGCATATGTATCAAATAGATAGCATATTAGCAAGCAGAGTATTGATCCCACAGGGAATTGATATAAAATTTTACTAAGTACTAAAATTAGAATAATTTATTTTTTTTCAAATAATTAAAATCTGAATTCTAATTGAACTAAAAATTACTCAACT